ACAACACAATGGCTCCTATTCCTAAATAAAACTAACTACACCCGGTTCAAATAAAACCCTTGGAAAAGAACCCTGGTTTAAAGAAAAACCAAGGGGGAATTGCTACACTACCTAACAAAAAAAATCTTTTTTCTTTTTTTTTTTTTAGACTTAAATCCCTCAAGAAAATTATCTAAGTCCATCGTCGGGAAAAGTAAAATCTTTTTAAAAAAAATACTATTTAATTAAACTAATACAGCTAAAGTAGCATGAAAAGTCACCCAGACAATCTCATCACCCCACACTTAAAATTGTGCATTGTCCCCAATGCACAGCATAACCATAAGAGGGTAAGAGAAACTCCCTGGTAGGCCAAAGGCCGAAGCACTAGCAGTTCATGGGGTACTCAGACTTCTCCCAGGCTTGGTCCTTCGTGCGGGTACCTCACACTTTGTTCCAACCATTTGATTTGTTGTTGCATCCTTCCAATAGCTTTGCTTTCCACGCTCCTAGAAAATAAAAAATCGACACTACAAGAATAATACAATTAAAAAAAATAAATAAAAGAAAGCAATAAAGCTGGGTTGCCTCCCAACAAGCGCTTGATTTAACGTCGTGGCACGACGCGAATTACTTTTTTGCCTCCTCCTCGAGCTTATGAATTGAACACCAAGTGTTGATTCAAGCTTATGATTGTGGTCATGGGGCGGTGGAACGAATCTAACTGGCCCAAGGAAATAATGTAGCATTCTGCACTCCTTGGCCTTTGTATGAGGTATGTAATCCTGACTTTCTGGCAAGAAGAATTCCAGAATATATGCACCTTGTTCCTCATTCCTTGACTTTTCGATTGGTTCAGATGACTCTATTACCATATAATCATCCAAGCATAATGTGGAAAAATGCTTGGAGTGTGGACCAATGCGCTCAAACACATGAACTTCAGGACTTTCAATATCCTCAACATCAATTATACTAGAGTCAACAAAATTTATATCCTCAAAGTCCTTGGTTGGCTCTAGTCTCACTTCTTCAACATTGACATCCTCAAATTGCAGTTGGCTAGGTTGTTGATGTTCTACTCTGACCTCCCCAATTAACACCTCAAATCCATGCTCTTCTTGGTTGCTATCCTCAATATTGGCTTGTTGAGCATTAAAAGCTCCAACCACTTGACTCAATTGAGCCTCCAACTTGCGAATAGTTGCCTCTTGCCTTTCTATGTGCAATTGTTTCTCATTGTTTTCCTCCAGAAGACACTTTAGCATATCATTGATCTCCTTCAGGTCCGCATTCCCAGGTTCTTTGTTCCTATTAACTTCACAAGAAAAGGTAGAACCATCATAGTAAGGGGTTGGGGGAAAATAAGAAATGTAAGCACAACCATGAAGGTGACCATTTTACCACCACACACATTCCACAAATAAGATTGAGTTGGTGCACATAACTCTCTCTCAGGAACGTTTTGAAAATTTTGCCACGGGTGGTTTCCTTTACAATATGTATGGAGATCAATAGTAGAATTATCTACACCTAAATTCCCATAATTCCAAGATGTCATGTTTCTCAAATCGATAATTATAAAAAAAATACAAAAAAAAAACAAAACAAAAAAAAACAAAATAAAAGTTCAAACTCGTAACCTAGCAATATATACAGCTACAACTACTCCGTTAGTTCCCCGGCAACGGCACCAAAATTTGATCACGCCCAGCTCTAGTCCTAAAAAGGATAAGCGGTCGCTGCAAATACAATCCGGTCTAAAAGTCCGGAGTCGAATCCCACAGAGAACTAAGGTTTCGCTGTAAGTGTTCAATATCGCAAAGAAGACAAGTTTGAATAATTTCTAAATTATAATATTAAGATTTTTATATCTAACTAATTAACCAACAAATACTATAAAACGGTAAAATTATCAACTAACGAGACAAAGGTTTGGAGACTAAATTAAGGAAGTCTAGAGTTATGATTTCCCCAATTGTTGATTTCATTAATTGTATGTTTCTTATAGCTTTGACTTAGTTGCCTCTATCAATCATGAACTCTCCAGCTATCATAAATCTCTCTCAAGCAATTATGATAATTTACTAGACGCACTCTCTCAAGCTACGCTAGCTAGATTCACATTACAGTTCACTAAGATCGCACCCGAGGTATCGTTATCTCTAATCCAACCTCTAAACCCTCGGTTATGACTCTCGCCTATACTCCGGGAGTGATGTTGTTCAAACAACTACCTAAATATGCACTCTCTCTCAAGCAGATACATAATAAATAGGAACGGCTACTTGAGGATCCTTTCAATTAACCAAAATCAAAACGTAGTTGAACAAATAGAGATTAACAACTAACTCAAAACTATATTAATATAACAACCAATTTATCTCCAAAAGGTTCCATCAAAACCCTAGAAAACGAATTAGCTTTTCATAAAAGTATGTGAAAACACAATACTCCAATTCATAACCAACAATAAAATAGGAAGAAGAAGGGGAAAAACTCGTAGTTGAATCTTCCTCCTTGCTCCTAGCATGTTCTTGCCTCCAAGGGTGTTGTCTAACCCTAAAGTAGTGTCTCTCCCTTCAAAGTGGTGTTTGAGGATGTATTTATATGACCTAGGGTTGATGAGGAGCGAAATTCTTCAATCCAACTTCGGATGGGAGAGCTGGAATCCGCGTCTGCCTTCGCGTCTAGACGCGGACTTTGACGCGGATCCGCGTTTGCCTTCGCGTCTAGACACGGACTTTGACGCGGATCCATCTTTTGAGATTCTTCCATTTCGCGAAGTGCTCCGTGCCTTTGCTTCGCTTCGCTGTTTTGTACCTTAACTTTTCTCCTTTTTCGCGTCCGACTTCGTGCCACGCACGAGAATAGACGAGCTCCCACTCCTTTAATTTCTTCTTTTTGTGTCGAATTGTCATCTTTTGATCATTTATCATCCAAACTCGTTTCTACACATAAGAAACACATAATGCACTTCGAAAATTATGTAATCTCCCGCGACACACACAAGAATTAATATGCAAATATACTCAAAAATATGCACTTTTCATCATTTATCAGTAATTTTCTGTTTTTTTTTTTTTCCAAAAATTTTACTTAACTAATGTAAAATCCGTTCTCTCAACTAGCTGCGCTTCTAATATTGATATGCATTAGTTCTAGTTTTTGGTTAGCAGGGATGGATTATTAGTTTCGGAATGAATAATACGTAAAAGGACCAATTAGAAGATTTCAATATGTTTTCCTCTTCAACACTACAATGTTTTTATTGCTTTGGCGTGGCATAATAATCTGAAAAAAAGTCAGAGAATGACATTGACTTCAGACATGAGAGTCTGAGAGGAACTTAACTAATTGTTTAGGCATGATGATCAATAATTTAAGCTTTTACGGGTTGCCTATGGTTTTTCTTTCTTCTTCATTTTTTCTTATTTGGTGTTCCCAGATTGAAGAATTAAATTTAGATGAAATCTTTTTTTGGCAAAAGATATATTTTTCTTATTGTGGCCTAGTTTCTTCCATTTCATCTAAATGCAAGTAACAACCGTCAACAAGAACTAATATATCCCTTAAATTAATGTGTAATGTTTTCCTAGTATTTTTCACATTCAGAGAAAAGAAAAACATTAATTTGATAGGAAGAAAAATCAATGAAAGAAAAAAAAATACTGCATCACATGCGCAATGCACTAGTATAGTAATAGGAGTAATTGGTAATTCTACCTCAAATTAATTCGACTAATAAGACGAGCGAATAAGTTACACGAATTTTCATTTAAACTAACTTCCCTTTTCTTCTCTCTGATGCCTCCTGGACCAGAGCATCGAATAAAGCCTGCTTGAGATCTATCCAAAATAGTCTAAATACTGTTTATTTTAAATTCTACGTCTTGGTACCCGTATATCAGCTTTCAATATACATATAATAAAGAGGATAGGAAAGTGAAGTCCCGTGTACCAACGATGTACAAGTCATAGTCAAAAAAAAATCTACTAAATTTATTAGTTGCAAGGCAACTTTGCTGTAAAGTTTATTATACTCTTAAGGTATATTACAGAGAAAAAGTCTTCTTAGTATTATGATTTTTGACTATGAATTATTGCAGTGCTAATGTATTCATTAGTATGAGTCTTAGTCTTGTAAAAGCATAGGAAAGGAAGAGTTTTAACCCTTATGCTGCAAGGTTACCCCAACCAAGTAATAAGCACTAAAAGCAAAACTATCAATTACACTATTTTCTAAGGTCAATCTTTTAAATTCAAGTGAAACGAATTAAAGATTAGGCGTCCCTAAGTATATTTAGGTGCCAAAATGGCCGCTTCCTTAATCCTTAAAACAATATGTCTTAGCTTCCTTACACCATTTTTATGACTATTTAAACACAACATCAATATGCGGCTGCCTGACTTTATAAGAAAATCTTGGCATTTAGTTTGATGGTTATTTCTCGGTTGACGACTTCTCATGGGAAACATATATGTATGTATATATAAACACTTTGCTTAAATTTTCTTCAAATCTCAATTTCGTTATAAGATTGAACTGTATGCGGAATAAGTAAAGTTTTATTTTTGAGATTATTAGCCATAAGTTTTTCTTAAGATGGTGTAAATTTGTACTCTGGCACATAAAATTGTATTACTGTCCTGGTAATTATTTGTACATATATTTTGACTAGAAAAATGCTGAATGTAACTCATCCAAGATATTTGAGGTAGATTACTGTCTCATTTTTGTAAAGAGAAACTGGTCCTGTCTCTTCCCGATCAATGCCATGACTTTCTATAAAGGTTCTACTGTATTAAGTGTTTATCAAAAAAATCTAAAAAGAAAAAAAGAAAAAGAAAAAGGGGGGTGGGGAGCTTTCCTCACCTCTTACGCTTTGCCGACGGATAAAGAAAATATTCCCTAAATAGTGGAAGACTAAAAAATGTGGATACCTTGGCTTTACATCACTCTTAGCTTCTTCTGCTAATTAATTACTACTCAACATTGCTAAGACGCTATAACTACTACCGGCTACGCTCTGTCCTTTTCAGCTCCATTTATCTGGTGTCCAAGTTCTCTCCACTAATTTCCTTACACATTCAATGTTCACATTTCACACGTATAATTCCATGTCTACATTTCTATATATACATGGAATAATTCGATCAAAGTGCAATCCATTTATTTGAAAAGACATGGAAGCCATTGGAGATATCTTGGTGCTCCCATTTTACGGTCAAGGTCATCTCTTCCCCTGCATGGAACTCTGCAAAAAGTTGACATCTTTCAACTTTAAAGTCACCCTTATCATCCCCTCCCACCTCTCCTCCTCCATTCCACCACATCTTCGTCATCATTCTTTAATTCAAGTAGTTGAGATTTCAGCTACATCAACTCCACCATTACCACACAAGGCAATAGAATTACCAGCTTTGCCACCAAAACAAAAAGGAGGACATGGTTTCATGCATGGGCCCTTTTCGCATCACCATCAGCAGTTAGGACAGGGGATGGATATCTTCCTATCGGAGCGATGCGATGGGACAGGTCTGGCCCGACCTATATGTGCAGTGGTGGACGTCATGATGAGCTGGAGTAAGGAAATTTTCTTGAAATATGACATACCCTTTATCTCTTTCTTCACTTCTGGTGCATGTGCTGCTGCAATGGAGTTTGCAGCCTGGAAGAGCCATGCGGATGAGATGAAACCAGGTGAGATTCGGATTCTTCCCGGGTTGCCTGAAAGTATGGCTCTGAGTTACTCTGATGTCAAGCGAAACCGCCATGGACCAGGTCATCATAGTGGTGGTGGTCCAAATAGACAGAATGAACCATCAGGACCACCAGGTGGGGTAGAAGATGGGCCTCCAAAACCAGGTCAAAAGCCACGATGGTTGGATGAGGTAGAGGGTTCTATTGCGTTGTTGATCAATACCTGTCATGATCTTGAGGGTCCATTCATTGATTATGTAGCCAACCAAATTGAAACGCCAATATGGGGTGTAGGCCCGTTGTTGCCAGAAACGTATTGGATATCAACTAGTTCAATACTACGTGATCATGAAGTCAGGTCAAACCGACAGTCCAATTTTACAGAAGAAGAGGTGATGCAATGGTTGAACTCAAAACCTCGGGGATCAGTGATTTATGTGTCCTTTGGTAGTGAAGTTGGACCTAGCTTGGTAGAATATGCTCAACTGGCTGATGCATTAGAGGCATCAAACCATCCTTTTATTTGGGTTATTCAGGCCGGTTCAGGTCGACCCGGTCCACCTCCAGGTCTCTTTGGAGACGGTCAACAAGAAGAAGGATACTACCCACATGGGTTGGATGAAAGAATAGGGAATAAAGGATTGATAATAAAGGGATGGGCACCACAGTTGTTGATTCTAAGTCATCCTTCAACTGGTGGGTTTCTATCGCATTGTGGATTGAACTCAACAATGGAAGCAATAGGACGTGGCGTCCCAATTTTGGCATGGCCAATCAGGGGTGACCAATTCCATGATGCCAAATTGGTAGCAAATTACTTGAAAATGGGACATATGATTTTACTCGGTGATGACCCCGGAGAGATGGTGAAGAAAGATGACATAGTTCAAGGAATTGACAAGATGATGAAAGATGAAGGGGTTCATAAGCAAGCAATGGCATTAAGATCCATATTCCAGAGTGGTTATCCAGATAGTTCAATGTGCTCTTTGAAGTCATTTATTCAGCTCATAAGCAAATAATGTGGAAAACTACATGATTGGACAGCGCTTCCGTTACCAAATAGAACAGAGAGAAGCCCACAATAGATACAGCTGAGTAAAGGGAAATATCCGAATCCCAGTTATTAGCATTTTGGTAATGCATGAGACTATTAGTTGGACTTGACGACAGTATAGAGGTTAGACAATCTCCGTAATAAATGAACAAGTTTGTGATCCTCCATACATGTTTTGTTTCACCTACGTGATTATACAAGATAAGAAGCCTACTAAGTTTGAAAAAATAAAAAAGAGGCAAGACCAGGAAAAAAGTGTCACAGCGATCCTTTCATTTTATTTTTATTTTTTGTTTTCCCTCAAGGGGAACTATTTTCCTTAATCATCAACCACATTGAAACGTATAATATCCCAGGAAGAAGAGAACAACAAAAGACAACCTCTCTGAACAGTTGCACCAATCTTATTTCAGGAAAAAGAAAGGAGGAAAAGAAAAACAGAGTTATCTATCTACAATTTAATTCACCAAACCTATGCTATCTAATGGCCATGAGTAAAACATCTACCATGCAGATACAATTAGAACTGTCCCATAAAAAAAAACACACTTCCCAGTTCCTACAATTTTGTAGGAAGAATGAAAAGGCAAGAGGAAACAACTAATCCAGGTCAGCAAAAAAAAGGATGAAATTTGCTGCTCTAACCACAAGAGTGAAAGACCTTTAGTATTAGAAAACCAATCTATACAGCCTATATACAAAATCTCCATCTGATGTTCCCAAAACTTAAAAAAAAAAAATGAGAAACTCATGAATGAAAAATGTGAAAGGACCAACATGGAGGTGTGTATATACATTTCAAAAATAAATTTCTATGGAAGTTAATGGCTGTGAAGATTGACCTATTACGGTGCGTCAGCTGGCTCCAGTTTTGGTACAATAGCAGAAGACAGTTCTACATGAGAAACACGAACAGCACCTATAAGCCGCTCCGGTAACTCATCAGGGGTGTTGGCCTAGCACAAAAGGAAATCACATCATTACAAAGGGGCATATGCACCACATCTCTCATTATTTCAAACAAATAAGAATCACTGCATTTGGATTCTCCGTGTCATATTAGACGTGGGAACAAATGGGAGTGTGGGTGAGAGGTCAATTTCATTGATCAACAACAACAAACCCAGTAGTTCCCCACAAGTGGGGTCTGGGGAGGGTAACATGCACGCAGCCTTACCCTTACCCCTGGAAGGCAAATAGGCAGTTTCCAATAAACCCTCGGCTAGAGAACGATCGAAAAAGAAAAGGTAATTGCAACAAGTAGGGATAACAGCAAGATGAAATAAGATCGAATCCAAGAATGCGGTCAAACTTTAGGTAGTAATAGCCATTTATGGATAAAAGATATCATACAAACAGTAATGCTAGCAAACTGAGTAAGACAAAGAGAAACGCACGACTGCCTACGAACCTTCTACCCTAATCTTTGACCTCCACACCCTCCTGTCTAGGGCCATGTCCGCAGTCAGCTCCAGCTGCGCCATGTCCTGCCTAATAACATCTCCCCAAGACTTCTTAGGCCTACCTCTACCCCTCCTGCTATCCACCGAGGCTAACCACTCGCACCTTCTAACCGGGACTTCTATACTTCTCCTCTTAACATGCCCGAACCATCTCAACCTCGCCTCCCGCATCTTATCCTCCACAGGGGCCACTCCCAGCTTTTCCCGAATAACTTCATTCCTAATCTTATCCAACCAGGTATACCCATACATCCACCTTAACATCCTTATCTCAACTACTTTTAGCTTCTGGGTATTAGAGTTGATAGAATACATAAGTCCACCAAACTATATCGAGACCAGGTCCTATATAGGTTTTCACAGATAACGCTAATGTAACAGTAAGTAAATGGAACAGGGAACTTTTACGTGGAGAAATCCCTGCTCAAGGGGATAAAAAACCACGACCTACACTGGTAGGATTTCAACTTCATTATGAGCAAACTTTAGATTACAACCTATGCAATCTAGGAATTAAACTCTTAATCCCTCACTAACTTGTAATACACCTATTACAAGCCACTTTGCAATACACCTATTACAAAGACTTCAACTCATGACTAACTCTAGTCACGATACAAACACTGAAGGTTTATGGTTTTCAAGGGTTTTCCTAATTAGAGCTTGTAGATAAGCAAAGTAGGAATTACAATTGAAGAACAATTACAAAGTTACAACTCAACTAAGGACATACAAGAGACTTGTTGTAGGAACTGGTCCGTAGTAGTGTTGTACTTTGTTCTTGATGCAGTTGAGAATTGAATGCTTGATTGTCAAATGCGTGGAGTGCTTGAATGAATTCTCTAAGTGTTCTTTGTTAATACAACTTGGATGGCATCACTTGAATGATGTAATCACTTGGTCGGTCAATGAGGAGTGACTCTTGTACTATGCTGCAATGTTTGCGTGTACAGTGCAGACAGTCACTTTCCAGCTGTAGACAGTTGACTTCATACTGCTGTCAGGAAAACCCAAGGAGATCAGGTCACTGTGTTGATTCTTTATCTTCTGAAGTCATAGCAACTCACATTAGTTTGAGTCTGTTGATTCAGTTGTTTACCAAGTGTGCAGGTCCCTTATCTGGTTCTTTGATAGTAAGTTTGTTAGATCATCAAAACATAAAGCTAAGGTACAGTAAAGCAATCAAGAGTTCTTGACCGGCCAACACTCTGCTCCATTCAATATAGTCGGTCTAACTACAACATTGTAGAACTTACCTTTAAGTCTCAGCGGCACATTCTTATCACACAAGACACCGGAAGCGAGCTTCCACTTCATCCATCCTGCTCTGTTACGATGCGTGACATCTTTATCAATCTCCCCGTTACCTTGTGTTATAGATCCAAGATACTTTAAACTATCTCTCTTGGGGATGACTTGCGTATCAAGCCTCACCTCCATATCCCCGTCCTGGATACCGTTGCTGAACTTGCACTCCAAGTATTACGTCTTGGTCCTGCTCAACTTGCAACCCTTAGACTCTAGGGTCTGCCTCCAAACCTCCGGCCTCTCGTTAACACCACCCTGAGTCTCGTCAATTAAAACTATGTTATCAGCAAATAACATACACCATGGCACCTCACCTTGAATGTGTCTCGTCGATACGTCCACCGCCTAGGAAAATAGGAATGAACTAAGAGTCGATCCCTGGTGAAACCCCATCATAATCAGGAAGTGTTCCGTGTCTCCTCTGCCCTAACCCGAGTCTTAGCTTTATCATACATGTCCTTAATCACCTTAATGTAGGCTACTGGACTGCTTTAGCCTCCAAGCATCGGCAGAGCACCTTTCTCAGGACTTTGTCATATGCTTTCTCATTGATCGACGTACACATATAAATATGACAAGCTAACTTATGATTCGTAAGGAATATCTTAAATGGGGGATGAATACTTATAGGGCAGCCCGATGCACTAAGCTCCCGCTATGCGGGGGTCCGGAGAAAGGCCGGACCTCACGGGTCTATCGTACGCAGCCTCACCCTGTATTTCTGCAAGAGACTGTTTCCACGGCTCGAACCCATGACTACCTCCTGGTCATATGGAAGCAACTTTACCAATTATGCCAAGGCTCCCTTCAAGGATGAATGCTTATAGATGATAATATTATACACAAAAGGACAAGCTAGTACTATGTTGGTCTCTCTCCTATGAGGATGATGATTTTCCATCCAATTTTCTTTGGTTGTTAATTTTTTATAGTTTATTGTGCCATTATATTTACTTTGTATACTTCAGCACATACGCTCAACTGCAGAAAACTACCATTGCGATATCCCTAAGAGAATAAAACTATTTTACATGGCACTAAGACCATATTACATGAATTTGAGATGCTTCTTTCATATAAAGATAACTTTCATTTTTTTCTTTTGATGGTTGATATTAAGATAATCTTTCTTCCACCAAAAAAGAATAATAAAATGAAATAAAAGAACACCAAAGAGAGTACAACCCGTACTTACTAATAATCATTCTTACACAAACTAAATGAGCTTTTCCCTAGTTACATTGTTCCAACATGGAGACAATAATTAAGAGTAAAAGTAAAATTCACTGCCCAGTGACAGAAGGGAAAGATGCGGGCAACACAAGAATAGTAAAAAATTGAAGTTTAAACAAGTGTCAGAGATCACCATTTGTCTCATATAACATCAAATAAAAAATTCCCAATAGAATAGGATATATACTACTTCTATGAATGGATTTAACCGTCTTATTATAGGTTCGTTCCGCGTTGCCACTATCCCAAAAATAGAGAACATTCATTAACACCTACCATTCACATAAAAAGTTTTACTTTTAAACTTACCTTTATTCTAAACATAATTAAAATTCTTCAAGAAGTTAAATTTATCTCCATTTTTAACCCACTTTAACCTAAATATACTAATATACAACATTATCTTTGTAGTCGTGACACCAAAATTGGGACAGAAGAAAGAAAATTAATCTTCTGAATTTTTGTTTTACAGTAAGGAACCTGGAGAAATGTCGTTGCAATCAAATATGGTAGAGAAGGTTTTTGGGCCCCAAAACCTGTTGAAACAGCTTATGGTAGTTCTATTTGGAGACAAATTGCCAACCTTTGGGAAGACTTTGCTAAGTATACTGTCTTGACAGTGGGAGATGAAAAAAGAATTAGGCTATGGAAAGATAATTGGGTTGGAGAAGGGCTGCTAAAGGATCAATTTCCAGTCCTATATAGGTTGGTGAATCTTTCTGATATACTGCTGGCTGATTGTATGGCAGGGTGGAATTTTCAATTCAGGAGGGACTTTTATGACTGGGAGTTGAAGATGTTGGAACTTTTCTTTGTAAAATGCGATCCGTAGTGCTAGACAGGCGAAAAAATGATGCTATGTTTTGGAAGGCAAGCAAAGATGGAAAATATTCTGTGAACTCCTTCTACAGATTGCTTCTGGAAGATTCTGCTGAAAATGTTACTTCTTGGCCTTGGAAGATGATTTGGAGGACATAGTCCCTCCTAAAGTGGCATGTTTTGGGTGGTTGGTAGCTCATGGGGCTTGTCTAACCCATGAGAAGTTGCAAAAAAGAGGGTATAAGCTATGCAGCAGGTGTTATTTATGTGAAAGCTCCATTGAATCCGCTGATCACCTTTTTATACACTGCAATTTTACTTGGCAGCTCGGGACTATGTTCTCGATAATTTTTGGAGTGTATTGGGCAGCACCTCACAACTTTAAAAGTTTGTTATGCTGCTGGAAGGCATATTATACTGGCAGAATTCACAAGAAGATTTGGATGTCTATTCCTCTCTGCATTGCTTGGACTATATGGAGTGAAAGATATAGGAGATGTTTTGAAGACAAAGATGCTTGCTGTTGTTAAATATAGATGTATGGAGAATTTGTACTATTGGATGAAAGGGAATTTAGTTTTGAATGTGAATGATATGCTAGACTTGTTAGAAACCCTGAATATGTAATGTAAACGAGTCCTGCCTTTTGTATTTGCTGCAGTACTATCTTGGTATTGTTTCTAAATAAAACTTGACCCCTCCCCCTCGCTCCTACCACACTGCCC